GCTTTCTTTTTTCATAACTTTGCTTGGTTTTGATCAACTATTAGTGAGATAATTTTATTAGTGCGATGATAATTCTTATCAAAACTTTCTTTGACAGTAACATATTATTATGTTATGTTATGTTATGTTATGTTATAACTATTTTAGTATTATTTTGAATTTTAAGTCAATTCATACGATTACCGAGTACTATATTTATTGATTCTACACCTCAAAAATATATTCACCTTGGAGAATCATCTGATTGACAAAATAGTGTTCCATTACAAATTACAATCTTCAAATAGCAAAGTAAAAGGGTCGGAATTTCGGTGCATAATCTCCTTTAGTTAGAACTGGCACAAATATCAATAGCTATAGTTAAGGAATTTTCAATGTCTCTCAAATTTAGAATATCTCATTCGTTTCAACTCTAATTTTAAATGAGTTAGAAAAACCATATTATTTGTAACTTGCCAAAGAAAAGTTGAAGAAGGATGGTGAGCAATTTTATAAGAATTATACAATATCATCAAAGACAATAGTAGTTTGGTAACAATTTACCTCTGCTTTTTCATTATTTTTAACTTCAAGTTCATTCATTAGAGAGAAAAAAACATACCCAATAAAATATAAAATTTTCAACCAAATAAACTCTATCTCAATTGTTGATATTTTGTAGATTCAGAATTAGCTGTGAGCTGTAGACAATATTTGTTTGATCTAACTTTATTGTTCTGCATCACAAGGAAGCTAGATATTTCGGAATGATTATTGAGAAACTATTCAAAGCTATTGGGAAAATGAGAAAACTTTCGCCTCCTCATTTCATACAAATCAAGAGCATGAAGTTAAACTTTCGTATGAAGTACACCGATTACAACATCGCAAACCCCATAAATGTGTACATAGTTTTGAAGATAATGAAGGATGAAGAAAAACAATCCCAGACAAAGTTCATGACATGTATGGGGTAAATTTAAGTTCTTGACAATGGAGTTTTCACAATTCAAAATTTTTAGCCACTAAATTTTAGGCATAATGTAAGAGGTAGTGAATTCAGTGATAGAGATAATGACGTACTGAGAAAGATATTTTTGATGGTGAATATAGAAATGATTTGATAATATATATTATTTATATGAGGTAAAATTTTAGAATCGTGAAAAGATGTTTCACATTTTCAAACATTTTACCATTAAAATGGGTTTTAATGAAATGCAGAAGAAGAAGGAAGATACTATTGATGGTGAATATAAAGTCTCATTAATGAAAGATGAAGTTGTGTGGAGGAAATGTTTTTGATGGCGGAGCAATTAAAAAAAAAATCTAAAAGAAAATTTGCAGTAATTTCTAACAACAAAGAGTAAATTGAAGTAGGTTTTGAATATTAAGGTTTTTTTAGGAATCGGTTACTATGAGTTGTGTTGTTTACTTTTGATGAATGATTAAGATGTTGTAAAACTTATAATGTATGTTTTTTAATATAGTAATTGAATAATTTTGTTTCTTTCATGATACCATATAAGTAATTCGTATAATTATTATTAGCGTTTATACATTGATGTACTTTCATCCGTCCAACGGGCGGGCCCAACTCTAGTTTTTGAATATGGACAATCATCTCGATGAAATATACGCTTTACTATTTGGAATGAGATATTTTCTATATAATTTTATACGATATAAGAGTTTGTGAATATAAAAGGAAATTGAATGGTTTAGTGTAAATGGGGATCAATATTATTGATTGTAATTTAGTTTAAGTTAGAAAAGGACTTATCTCAGTATAATTATATTTAAATGAAATAATTTAATTAAATATATTTTGAGTTTTATGCAACTTGTCACCAACAATTTCATATAGTTCGGTTCATTTACATGCTATACATAATCAAGTTACTATTTTAAAAATTAATAATAAAGTGATAAACAATAAGTAAAATAACTAACCTTTGGATTACCACCCTTAATTAACTAATCAAGTATTAGTTGTGTTTGATTCATTCAAATTACTATTCATTTGTACAAATAAAATAAATAAATTGCATCCATTATGATCTCATAGATGACCGATTCAATTCTGACGAAAATAGATTACGTAATGACAATTAGAATTTGATGGACATTTTAATTACTCTCAATGATTTATAGCTAGTGGAAGAAGCAACAAGTAATCACAAAGTTAATTAGTAATACAAGCGTCGATCCAATTGTCAGATTATAGTGAATAGAAATTCAGTAGCCAACAAAAGAGACTTGGTCTGTAAAGATAAATTAAATTAAATAATTACAAGTTTCCAAACAGAAAATTTTAACTACATTGAAATGTCAATGGATCTTATAGTGGGAGGGAGGCTGGCTTGGATCAACATCAAGATAGTGTGGTTAGGAGTATTAATACAGTAAAATATGGATAATTATTTAATGAAAAAAAGACAACAATTAAAAAACCCTCAAATGGTTGTGTGATTTTGGGGCGACTACATTATCGTATCAGTCTAATCGGTTGTATTAATTGATTTGTATACTGATGGTTGAGTCAGTATATACATTTTTATAACAACTTCACTACGTCTCTACGATAATATGTTGTAGATGATTATGCTATGATAGCTTGAATACATATGGATATAGTTTTACAATAATCACTTTACGTATGTTTTTTACGATGGCAAAGTAAAACTAAGGGTTAAAGCCGCGAACAAGTGTCTGGTCTAGCGGTTAAATCGTTGGTCTTCAATCTGGAGGTACTATGTTCAATATTTTTAGTAGCACCTAACATTAAAACTAAACTTATATCATTCTTATAAAAAAAAATAAGGGATTATTATAACACTAGTCCTTAAAGACGAAGCGGGCTAACCTCAATGAAGAAATAACACAATAGAAAGGAATTCAAATTAAATCCAACAATTCATGACGAAGAAGTTCATTACGAACTTCTGATCGATTGTGTACAAATGTTGCATCAAGTGTTTAAGTGCACTAAACAATCAAAAAGTTGTCAAGAATCTAAAATCCTTGACGTACTCTTTAATTCATTATCATGATTTTCCAAAGTTCTATATGATATATTAGAACATTAGCAAGGTAAAAAGATGATAACTATTTTATAGAGCTTTAATTTTCAACTGTTTCAGTCATTCATACTAGACATGTACTTGTTTGAACTCAAATATTGAGAGGGGGAAATCTCTCTCGTTAACATGGTTGTCATGTCGATGGTATGCCATCCGGTTCAACCTGGTTCAACCATGACCGGCATGATACCACCGGTATGACCGGTATGATCGACTTACGCATTCTAAGTAAAATGACATCGTTTAATGAATTAAATGAATAAAAAAATAATTTATTATTCATTTTATGAATGTAATAGTTAAAATTTGATGATATTTGTTGGATTGTAACTAAATTGTCCATAAATATGTTTTATATATGATTAGATACATTGGATATTAATTGTTTTCACATTTTTTTAAACTGGCATGAACCGACACAAACTATTTTTACCACTGATCGTACCATTCCACTTGTCAAACCGGCACAACGGTATAAACCGGTTTGACAACCTTGCTCATTAACTTCTTACAAGAAAAAAGCATATCAATTCTATTGGGCGAGATCAAGGAACAACCAAACATTAAGACTCATTCTCTGACATCGATTTCTCAAACATCAATAGAAATGAAGCATCACGGTTTAGCATTGGAATCACCTTCGAACTTTTAAAAAATATAAATGATTTTTAGGTTTATTTGTGAAATGTTTCTAGTCATGGGAAGAACTAGTTTTTTCAAGGAATTCTTCTCTAGAACCAACATGTGGAGCATATGTAGCCAATGAGTTCATCTAACTTGACCAATCCGACATAAACAAAGAGACAGAAATATATATAAAAGAAACACAAGTGTTGATTAATTTTTAACGTGATTAAGAGATACATAGTTTGCCAGATTTTCTTCGATCAAATGCTGATAATCAAGACACCGATATCATACATGCCAGGCCAGCTATTGTTTCTGAATAATCAAACATACAACTCCCCCCAACTTGATGAATGAAAATATAGATAAATCCCAAATAAAAATTTGGTCCCGTAGTAATATCACTAATCTTGAATTGAAGGTAAATCATTTGATGAATTCCCCAACTAGATAATTAAATTCACGTTCGTTCTTGATACTAGTGCATCTAAATTAGTGTTGTTAAACTGATCATATCAGGTCGATCAATTCGACGCAAAGAAACTATACAATCACAAATCCGGCCCGGCCATGCTGAAATCGGGTAAGATCATGATAAGGCCCAAGCCACGATTATTTTGAGCGATTAACCGCCCTAACCCATCGACCCAGCTTTCGGTTTGTGTCCAATGCCTTTTATTGGATAGTACAAGTGTAATTTTTTTGCTGGGATTTGAACCCAAGTCCCTTGACGGAAAGACAAACATATATACCAATTAGACTATACAAGATTGTAATTATATTTTCGATTTTATAAGTGATCGGGGTGTTTAAACCGTTTTATACTGATTAACGACTAATTACCACTCAGCCTAAATCCTTTTATTAATTCGGGTCGACGTCGCGCTTTGACAACACTTATCCGAGCTAATTTTCTCTTGTAATGTACTTTTTAAAATGAACACAATGTATGCTAGCTAGAAGTTTATGTAATGTCTACCTCTAAGAATAATTCATCAATTAAAAAACATAAACGACGACGACAACAACAATATATTCAATTAACTTGACTAGTTCTTGATCAATTGATTTTAGCTAGTTATATTTACCAAAATCATTGCACCAAAAAATACGTGAGAGCTAGACTAGTGGAACCCCATCAACCCATTTGTTCGATTTTAATATCAATGATTATTTATTTATTTATTATCATATGCTTAATCATTATGAGCCTATATAAACCAAAGAAGCAAAGGCTTCAAAATCCATCCTCAAACTTCCCCACCACACACATTTGGAAACTTGAACTTGGTAGAGATCGATTTGCCTAAGATGGCCAATTTTTGGCCTCACCAATTGGTTTTTGTTGCGGCGATATGCATGCTATCAATAACCTACGTAGTAGCCGACGATAAGCCTTACTACTACTCATCCCCGCCACCGCCTTACCACTACAAGTCACCGCCGCCGCCGTCACCGTCGCCACCACGGCCGTACTACTACAAATCTCCTCCACCACCTTCACCATCACCGCCGCGTCCATATTATTACAAGTCTCCTCCTCCGCCGTCTCCATCACCTCCTCCTCCTTACTATTACAAGTCTCCCCCGCCACCGTCGCCATCTCCTCCTCCTCCTTATTACTATAAGTCTCCACCGCCACCTTCTCCATCTCCTCCACCACCTTACTACTACAAATCACCACCGCCACCGTCACCATCGCCTCCTCCTCCTTACATCTACAAGTCACCACCGCCACCGTCACCATCTCCTCCTCCTCCTTACTATTATAAGTCTCCTCCTCCGCCGTCGCCATCTCCTCCACCACCTTACTACTACAAGTCGCCACCTCCACCATCACCATCTCCTCCTCCTCCTTACTATTATAAGTCTCCTCCTCCGCCGTCGCCATCTCCTCCACCACCATACTACTACAAATCTCCACCGCCACCATCACCGTCTCCTCCTCCTCCTTACATCTACAAGTCGCCACCTCCACCGTCACCATCGCCTCCTCCTCCCTACTACTACAAGTCACCACCGCCACCGTCACCATCTCCTCCTCCTCCCTACTATTACAAATCACCACCGCCACCCTCTCCTTCTCCGCCGCCACCATACTATTACAAATCACCACCGCCACCCTCTCCTTCTCCACCGCCACCATATTACTACAAGTCGCCGCCACCACCATCACCGTCTCCACCGCCACCGTACTACTACAAATCTCCGCCACCGCCATCACCATCCCCGCCGCCTCCTTATTACTATTACAAATCCCCACCACCTCCAGCAACTTACTAAACCATTCGTAACATTACTTCCACCGCCATGCATACTTGCAAGTTCGTTCACAAAACCCTAATCTTCGTACTATATATACATTGCATTCTTATTTTTGTACGTTAATGATGTTATCCATATGTATCTGACATTTTAATTGATCCATATATGTAGGTTTGTGAGGGAAGAGAGTAACGACGACGAGTCATTGAGACCCATCTTGGAACTATGTACGACGAAATACTTCTTGGATTTGATATTTTCTTATATGTATAATGTTTATATAGTTGCGCAATTCTTTTGGCCACGGTTTCTTGTATGATCGATACTTTATTATTATAAGTCCATATGAAGGCTTTTGGTTGTTTGTGTTTCTATCATTGATATTATTCCATTTGTCAATCGTATGATCTCCCACATGTTTGTAATCAATAAAGAGCATGATTTCTTTTAACTTTTGTGAAATTTCAATTATGCAGGATTTTTTTTTTTTTTTTTTTTGCAGTAACATAATGTTTTTAATTAATTGAAGAAATACAAAATTGATGAAAATAGTTGGATTTTTTTTTTCTTTCTGCATAGCATTAAAGTAATTGCTATAGAAAGGGGATAGTCACTTGGGTTAAGGATTAAACCATTTTAACTAGAGGTGATAATTAGGATACAAATCTATGAATCCAATCCATCCACCAAATTATCCACTTAATCCAATCTATTTAAATCCAATCCATTTGGTCCAAATCCAATTGGATTAGTGGATTTATGAATCAATCCATGGATCCAAATGACAAATTACGATTTGGTACCTATATTTTTTATATTTTACATTTTGGTACCTAAAATTTATATTTTTGTACAAAAATATCATTGGAAAATTACATTTTGGTACCTAAAAATTTTCATTATGACAATTTAGTACCTAAACTTTTCAAAAATTACATTTTGGTCCAAGCCTTGGATGTCATTTGGATTCATGGATCAATCCACCAATCCATTTGATCCAATCCATGAATCCACCAATCCATTGATCCAATCCATTTGATTCATGGATCCACCAATCCAATCCACGAATCTACGAATCCGATCCAATTGCCACCTCTAATTTTAACCTAAGGAATGGGTGTAATGAAATGAGGTTGCGGAAGGGTTTAATTAGTGGCAACCTTTTGTAGTTGTGCCACTTGGTGAGGGGAAATTGGATAATTGGGTCATTGTAGCAATTGGGCTAATTATCTGGGCCTATTTATCCTTATTGTTTTAGTATTAGTAGTTTTATTATTGTTATTGCCTTTATTAGTAGTTTTTTTTTTCAAGTAGGATTTGGTTATTGTTAGGGAGCACTTCTACTATGCTATATATAGCATTGGTGCTTTAATTTACAACTCAAAGTTGTACCATAACATTAAATGTATAAGTTTAGGTTGTACCATAAAAGAATTTGTACCATTATGTTATGATACAACTTTACAACTTGAAGTTGTACCATCACATAAAGGTACAAGTTCAAGTTGTACCATAAAAGAATTTGCACAAAAAGTACAGGTACAATCTAAAGTTGTACCATAACGTAAATGTACAATTTTAAGTTGTACCATAAAGGCAAAAACCTATAGCACCAATACTATATAACATTGTAAAATTTCTCATTGTTAGGTAGTTCCTTGTAGGAATATGAGTCATGTTCTAGACAGGAAAAAGGCAGAGGCGTCTACGCCTATAAATATGTACAAGTTCATTCGTTTAATATCATGAGAAGATTGGAACCCAAGTATAGTTTAGTAGTTAGTTCTTCGATCCTCTATATTTCTCTTCGTAGTTCTAAGTCTATTCCTCTTCTCGTTCTAAAAGCCATTCTCGAGTTTCTTTATTCGATTCGTGAGAGTCACGTTACGTATGTGGCACCATCCTCAATAATTACAGCTACTTATTAAATAATTAACCCTAGCCGAGTCCTGGGAGGAATAGAAGTCCACAATAATTACATAACTCAACACAGGCGTGCCTTATAATTATCTTCTTCCAAATCCGCCTCTACACGCGCCGGCCATGGCGGATCCTACGATCAACAACAAGCTCGGCGACGATCTCGTCGAAGAGATTCTGATTCGCCTCCCCAATCACAGGATCGCCTGCCGCTGCAAACTCGTCTGCCGGCTGTGGAACTCCGTCATCGTCTCCGACAACTCCTTCAACCGCCGTTTCGTTTCCCACCGCCAGACCATGACTCCCGACGACCTCAAATCCATGGTCCTCACCATCATCCCTCCCATGCCTAACGGAGACGAAGAACGAGACGCCTTCAAAGTCTTGGACTGCCAAAACGACCTCGTTTTGTGCGGGTTCTACGACAAGTATCCCAGCGACGAGGTGCACATCAGGTCGTACTTGGTCTGCAATCCGTTCACGAAGCAGTGGGACGCCCTTCCTCACGCGCCCAAGAAGCTCGTGTACCACGGACGTCCGGCTTCGAGGCTGGTCTGCGAACCTCCTTCCGGTGCCGGCGGCGCGGGGTGTCGGTTTCGGGTGGTGTGTTTGTATTATGAGTTGGCTCGAGCATGCGTCAGAGCGGACGTGTTTTGTTCGGAGTCCGGAGAGTGGACCAAAGATGCCCTAGTTCGCGAGGGTTGTTATTGTTCCACTATAAAAACTGTGGTCTCGTGCGACGGGGAGTTGTTCTGGAAGTACACCGTGTACGACGATGACAGCAACGCCTCCGTTTCGTTTCAGTCCGTGGACGGGTTTAATCCTTTCCGTCTCGACCTGCCGCCCGTTTCCGTCGACGTTTCCGCGTTTTCCAAGAAACCGCAGTGGACCACTGCGGTCTGCCAGGACGCGCTGCACTTGATCGTGCGAGAAAGCACGCCTCCTCGTCCTCTGCGTTTGAGCGTCTGGAGGCTGGAAGAAGACCGTAAATCCTGGAGGAAACAATGTGAGGGGGTGGTGAACAAGACATCGGAGTGTGGTGGCTATGAAACCGAGGGGTTTCACGAACCTTTTCTGCATCCACAGAAGCCTGAAATCGTCTTCTTCAACCGGTTTGCCGGTTGTTATTATAATAACGTTGTGCTGTGCTGTGATTTGAGGAGGGAGAAGGTGGAGTTTTTCGCTAAACTAGAGGAGTTTCATGAAGCCTACAACTTTTTGGTGTTTCATCCAAGGGTTTGTAAACGGTCTACTCCAATTGTATTCGAGAGTTCGAGGTTTTGCGATGCATGCGCAAGAGCAGCGGTGATCCAACAACAACAACTCCATCCCTCGAAAGGACGAAACAAGGTTGAGGTTGAGGTTGAGGACTCAGATGAGAACGAAATTGAAGGACTTATATTTCCTTTAAGATGTTGTCGGATGTGTGCCTAATCGATTTAGGGCTCTTTTGAATTTTTATAATCAATTGGTATTGTTATTATATATGCTTAAATTCTTTAACGTAGGTCGCTTTTTTTTTTTATATGCATGCACAATATATGTATTGTTTGTGTGTTACCTGATAGCCTGATATTATATGTAGTTTATCTGGATTGTGAACCGTAAGCCTTGAACATGAAGTATGAAAGAAATTCGATACGATAAGCGATGATTTGTCCCTACCTTGCCTAGTCGATTGAGTAGTGTGATCATATTCATATATGGATTTGGGTCTCTTGAAAGCAGTGGATTTGTTTGCTCGCTCGCTCTAGCACTGAGGACGAGTATCGCGTATTATTGTCCATGGTGGTACGACTGAACTTCAATGGGTTAGTAACTTACTTCTTCTTGATCTTCATTTCAGTTCCAACACTATACTAATTTCTTGTTCGGAGCCATGCTTATCGTATCAATTTTGAATCTCAAGGTTACAACGAATTTCTTCATAAGCCACATTATTATTTATTTAGAGAGGTAAGGTCAAACTTTTGCACCCGTTAAAGTCCACGAGAGGCTGCTAGCTAAGGTACAGAAGGGTATACAATAAGGACATTCTTCGTACCTGCTCCTTTATATAATCTGGAATCTGACTTCCAGCGAAACTACACAAAAATTTCGAGCTTCTGCGCAAGCGACATATTTAGTATTTTTAATAAAGAGAGGTTTTCGTTAGCTGAAATAAATTTAACGTGTTGCTGGTTGTATTTTGACAGTCTTTTGTTAGTACGTAAAAGTTGGGACGCCTTTTAGCATCCCATTATTGTTCTTCCAAAATCCGAATGTAGTACTACGATATCCATCACCAGCGATATTGGCTAACTCGAGTGGATAGAGATAGAATGCTTATAACCTCGCGTACTAAGACACATGATTAGATGCTTATCAAATTCCAATATATGTATGGACTTGGTTTCTATCTTGATAATTCAGCTAAAAAAGTATTAGGGTACGGTGAGACGACGTTCTTTTGTTAAAAACATGATCACAAAATTGTAGTCTCTATGACTAGGAACGAGCGATTAGGAAATTATACCAATCTCTTCTTTGATTTTTCATTTATTACATTGGCAATACAAGAAAACTAGAATACCGAATATTGAACCGAAATACGGATCTTCTTTGTGGATCCTTATTATAAATAAACACAAATCTCTTCACAAAACAATAATATTTGCTTCAAACTGAAAGCATTGAGTCATTCAAATTTAATGATGCCATGGTTTGTCTCGATCTCAAGAAGGTAGTGCGATCTTAGTAGTGCGATGGAGGAGGGGGTGAGGAATAGTAGTAGGGAGATGGTGAAGACTTGACGGGAGGAGGAGGTGAAGTGTAATGATATGGCGGTGGAGGAGACTTCTTAGGTGGAGGAGGGGACGAGTAATGGTAGGGTGGCGGAGGAGACTTCTTAGGAGGAGGAGGGGATGAGTAATGGTATGGTGGTGGCGGAGATTTCTTAGGAGGAGGAGGAGAACTGTAATGATACGGTGGCGGTGGAGACTTTTTAGGAGGTAGAGGAGAACTGTAATGATACGGTGGTGGTGGAGATTTCTTAGGAGGAGGAGGGGATGAGTAATGATATGGTGGCGGTGGAGACTTCTTAGGAGGTGGGGGAGAACTGTAATGATATGGTGGTGGTGGAGACTTCTTAGGAGGCGGGGGAGAACTGTAATGATATGGTGGTGGTGGAGACTTCTTGGGAGGTGGAGGGGACGAGTAATGGTATGGCGGCGGTGGAGATTTCTTGGGAGGAGGAGGAGATGAATAATGGTAAGGTGGTGGAGGAGACTTCTTAGGAGGTGGGGGAGAACTGTAATGATATGGGGGTGGTGGAGACTTCTTTGGAGGTGGAGGGGATGAGTAATGGTATGGCGGTGGTGGAGACTTCTTAGGAGGAGGAGGGGACGAGTAATGGTATGGTGGTGGTGGAGACTTCTTAGGAGGAGGAGGAGAACTGTAATGATACGGTGGTGGTGGGGACTTCTTTGGAGGAGGAGGAGAACTGTAATGGTACGGTGGTGGAGGAGACTTCTTCGGAGGTGGGGGAGAACTGTAATGATATGGGGGTGGTGGAGACTTCTTAGGAGGAGGAGGAGACGAGTAATGGTATGGTGGTGGTGGAGACTTCTTAGGAGGAGGAGGAGAACTGTAATGATACGGTGGTGGTGGAGACTTCTTTGGAGGAGGAGGAGAACTGTAATGGTACAGTGGTGGAGGAGACTTCTTCGGAGGTGGGGGAGAGCTGTAATGATATGGGGGTGGTGGAGACTTCTTAGGAGGAGGAGGAGAACTGTAATGATACGGTGGTGGTGGAGACTTCTTTGGAGGAGGAGGAGAACTGTAATGGTACGGTGGTGGAGGAGACTTCTTCGGAGGTGGGGGAGAACTGTAATGATATGGGGGTGGTGGAGACTTCTTAGGAGGAGGAGGGGACGAGTAATGGTATGGTGGTGGTGGAGACTTCTTAGGAGGAGGAGGAGAACTGTAATGATACGGTGGTGGTGGAGACTTCTTTGGAGGAGGAGGAGAACTGTAATGGTACGGTGGTGGAGGAGACTTCTTCGGAGGTGGGGGAGAACTGTAATGATATGGGGGTGGTGGAGACTTCTTAGGAGGAGGAGGGGACGAGTAATGGTATGGTGGTGGTGGAGACTTCTTAGGAGGAGGAGGAGAACTGTAATGATACGGTGGTGGTGGAGACTTCTTTGGAGGAGGAGGAGAACTGTAATGGTACGGTGGTGGAGGAGACTTCTTCGGAGGTGGGGGAGAACTGTAATGATATGGGGGTGGTGGAGACTTCTTAGGAGGAGGAGGGGACGAGTAATGGTATGGTGGTGGTGGAGACTTCTTAGGAGGAGGAGGAGAACTGTAATGATACGGTGGTGGTGGAGACTTCTTTGGAGGAGGAGGAGAACTGTAATGGTACGGTGGTGGAGGAGACTTCTTCGGAGGTGGGGGAGAACTGTAATGATATGGGGGTGGTGGAGACTTCTTTGGAGGAGGAGGGGACGAGTAATGGTATGGTGGTGGTGGAGACTTCTTAGGAGGAGGAGGAGAACTGTAATGATACGGTGGTGGTGGAGACTTCTTTGGAGGAGGAGGAGAACTGTAATGGTACGGTGGTGGAGGAGACTTCTTCGGAGGTGGGGGAGAACTGTAATGATATGGGGGTGGTGGAGACTTCTTAGGAGGTGGGGGAGAACTGTAATGATATGGGGGTGGTGGAGACTTCTTAGGAGGAGGAGGGGACGAGTAATGGTATGGTGGTGGTGGAGACTTCTTAGGAGGAGGAGGAGAACTGTAATGATACGGTGGTGGTGGAGACTTCTTTGGAGGAGGAGGAGAACTGTAATGGTACGGCGGTGGAGGTGACTTCTTCGGAGGTGGGGGAGAACTGTAATGATACGGTGGTGGAGGTGACTTTTTTGGTGGCGGAGGAGATGAATAGTGGTATGGCGGTGGTGGAGACTTCACCGGAGGCGGGGGTGAACTGTAATGGTACGGTGGTGGTGGGGAAGCATAGATGTAAGGCTTGTTGATGTAGCCATCGGCAGCCACATTGGTCGTGGTGGCGGCGGCTACAAGGCAGAATGCCAGAGCACAAAGCAACTGATGAGCTCTTCTAGTTGAAGTTCCCATCTTGTGAAGAATGGGACGTTTGGTTGATGAAGAATGAAAGGGAAAGCAAAGGCCTTTATATAGTGTTGTCGTCAATGACATTTTGCTGGACAAGAGATATATTATAGTATTGTAATTATTTGGTGGATGAATATACAGCCTGGAAGCCTAGAAAATTTGCATATCTTATATCTATACGAGAGTTGTTACATATCATCTTTCCTAGAGGTGGCAATTAGGATCCAAATCCATGAATCCAATCCAATCCATCCACCAAATTATCCACCTAATCCAATCCATTTAAATCCAATCCATTTGATCCAAATCCAATTGGATTGGTGGATTCATGGATCAATCCACGGATCCAAATGACAAATTACGATTTGGTACCTATATTTTTTATATTTTACATTTTGGTACCTAAAATTTATATTTTTATACGAAAAATATCATTGGAAAATTACATTTTGGTACCTAAAATTTTCCATTATGACATTTTAGTACCTAAACTTTTCAAAATTTATATTTTGGTCCAAGCCTTGGATGTTATTTGGATTCATGGATCAATCCACCAATCCATTGGATCCAATCCATGAATCCACCAATCCATTGGATCCAATCCATTTGATCCATGGATCCACGAATCCGATCCACGGATCCACGAATCCGATCCAATTGCCACCTCTAATCTTTCCCAAAGCAGCCGAATCTCACTGTATTTCAACGATTCCTATTTGTGGTTTCCCACTACTTGTTGATAGGGCAATCCATCTGGTTAACCGAACCGATATTTGGACCGGGTCGGATCGGATGGAATATATTTCGATTTGGTTTTGATCCTATAAATTATTTTAAGTATGAAAAAATGGACCGAAATTGAATTTGGGCCGGATGGAATCAAACCAAATGAACCAAACATACTTCTGGCCCGGTTCTGATCCGCATTTTTTTCCCTATGTTCTTGGTCCGATCCTATCTCAATTCGATTCAGTTCTGAACCGAATCGATTGATGCCCACCCTTGTTGGTCTCCATCACCTTTAATTCCATCTTTTAGACAATAATAGACCACTTTGACATTTCATTTTTGGGTACTATATACCATATATATGACTTATAAAGAGGGTTGGTGAGGTGGTATTTTATTATCGATTATTGCATGCAAATGGCAATCATTCATATAACAGCTTAATAGCTCATATAAACGCGCTTTAAAATTTCCAGTACTTTGATTATGATATACCAAATATTTATGTGACAATTTGGCTTTTAGTTATCTTTTTTATAGATGTTGGCTCTTGGTGTGCTCCATGAGACGGATTCTGGGTGAAAATACAGTTAGAGAATAGATAAGTGTTAATATTGATAACTCTGTTCACCCTCGTTATATTTGATCTTGTAAACAACATTGAAGAGTAGTCAATTCATTGAGGCGAGCATGGAACATCGATTGTGAAGAGGGAATCGATTGTGGGGAATCGACTATGTCTCTCAACTGGGTTAGAGAATGAAGTCCAGATAGACACGTAGTTCTACAAAATACGGAAAAATTCGGATGTTGAGTTCATGCGCACCAATTTATTTTGTAGACCAACCACACACACATCCAAACTATGTTCATCAACATTATAGCTATCCGTCGGATGCTATTTCTTTCTATGTGGATGTTCATTTCTGCGGTTATAGGTTTACACTTTTACCCAATATGAGAAGCCGCAGCATCTGTTTAGCTTAACCGTCTAGATGTTTGTTTAGCTTACTGGCTTACGTACAGCAGTATATTGTTTTCTCTAAATTTCAATTATTTGATCAATAATATATAGAGATTAAACCGCTGTTTTTACACCTAGTTATTTGACATATACAACGACAAACAAGGTCAAAGATATGAAAGCTAGCTAGCATTGACCTAATGGAAAGAGACATGGTAGATAGTGGTGATTATAATAAGAACATTCAATACCTACTCCTCATTATTTTACAATGAATAACTCAACTCCAACATTTTTTTCCTCTTCTTTGATTTGTTTGTGTTTCTTCGTTTAATTTTCATTTTCTCTAGAATGGAACTGATTTTTTTCGTTTACATTAATCTATCCACGGTTTTGGCTAATGATAATAGTTATTATTTATTTATTATGCTCTCTAGTCAATGAAGTACTAATAAGGACAAGAAAACACCAGTACAAAGCCGTAGATATAGTTTAACATCTAATTAATTAATGCGGCTAAACATCGATTGGAAATGGCGTCATGATGGGGTTGTTTGGTACATGAGGATGAAAGAAGCGTTACAAGAGAAGTAGAGAACAGAGCAATCACCCTGCAAGATCTGGAAGTTTTCATAGTTAATTTTGAATTTAGATCTGATCGAATCGAACAAAATGAATCAAATATGCTTTTGATCCAGTTATGACACTCATTTTTTCTTTATATTTGGTCTGATCTTATCTCAATTTGATCCGAATCTGGACCGAATCCATCGATGTCCATCATTTATATATTATTGGCAAATTAAACGGTGAATCTCAGAGCTTGTATAATTATTTCCAGCAAATAACCCATTATAACATTCCCAACTATGAAACATAAATGATTCCTGGCCATTAACAAAGACCTATAGTATGCAATCACATGTAGTATAATCCAGTTTGCAAGTAGATTCTTGCGGTTTTGTTCTATATGTTCTTAATTTATCTCTAGCCAAAATTTTGTATCTGTTTATGTTCACAAATTTTATAGATAGTCTTTGTTCATGCCTAACCCTTCTCTACCAAGTACCACTAATATATGTCTATAGTTTCTATCACATCAAACAAATAATACATACACGATACGTGTATAAAAGTAAAAATGAAAAGCGATGGATGTTAAAGAAGGCAAGTATATTAACAATCCCATATAATTCTAAAAATCAAAGAGCCCCTTAAATCACGAACAAGGGTTTTGTGTAATGGTAATACCACTAGCCTAGAATCTGGAAGTCTCGAATTCAAATCCCTTTATTAGTACCCTTATTCACAGAAAATGATAAACCTATATCACCATTATAACAAAAAAACCCTTAAATCAATTAGGCACACAACCGACAACCTCGTTCATTGTTGAGTTCCAAATCTCAACCTCGTTTCATCCTTTTAAGGGACGGAGTTGTTGGATCACACTGCTCAAACACTGGAATTGGAGTAAACCGACCAGAAACCGTTGGATGAAACACCGAAAAGTGACGAGCTTCATGTCTCTCTTTTAGTTTCGCGAAGAGCAGCTAGCTCTCCGCTTCTCAAATCGCAGCACAATACAACGTTGTTCTCCTTATCACCATCAAACCAATTGAAGAAGACGATTTCGGGCTTTTGTGGATGCAGAAAAGGTTGATAAAACCCCCCCAGTTTCATAGTTACCACACTCAGTGGCGTAGCCAGACATCGAGTCCACTGGGGTCCTTAAAATTTTACTAACATAAATGCTTGTGTACCTAATGAATTTTGAGTTAATCGGGGTCCTTGGTGAGCTAACATCGTTGAGAGTATGGGGTCCTAAACTTGAATTATCGTACTAAACCTATGTATTTAAAGGATTTTGTTGCCCAATTATTTGCCAAGTGGGGTCCTAGGACCCCTCTCCTCCTTACCTCCCTCCGCCACTGACCACACTAATTGATATCTTGTTCACCCGCCCCTCACATTGTTCGCACGCCGGCGACGGAGGAGAAAGGATTGGGCGGTCGGCAGAGTAGCTTTGGGTTTACAACGTAGAAGCCAGGTCGGCTAGGAATGGCAATGGGACAGGTTCGGGCCGGGTATCTCGATACCCATACTCGTTTTATGGCAAGTCGGGTCTAGGTCGGGTAATTTATCATGGGGCACGAGCCGGGGCAGGTCGACCCAATGGGTATGTAATTTATGTGAAAACTTTCAAAATATTAATTATTTTCATTAAAAGACCAAGAAATAAACCATAATATCATAAAATGTAGTTAAAGTATTGGAGATATTGAGGTTTTCACTTATTTACAACTTTATTATAGCTCAAATATGAGGTAATATATGAGGTAATATGAAGAAAATTCTAAGTAATTTGGCTAAGATTATATGTAATTTAGGCAAGAACGGGTCGAGAATGGGGCGGGTCATGGTAGGTTGGATCGACGAGAGATACCCATGCCCGCCCCACCCACCTACGGGACGGGTCGGACCCGCCCCAAAACAGGCCAAACAGGTCATGTAAAACGGGTCAGGTATAAGGTCGGCGCGCGGAGAGATGTAAAATACTCGCTGAACTCAGTGGGTCGGCTAATAAAGGGTGAAGGCCGACTTTTTTTTTTTTTTTGGGGTGAAAGCCCATGGGCCTTCCCTCTCCGGGCTTTGTTTTAGCCGGAATCGAAGAACAAGTCAAAGGAATCGGCCCACCATCACAATTAACGAAGAAAATTAGTCAATTACACAATTCAGACACAAAAAGTTATTTACTTTTTGTCACTAATCCACACCACTAACATACTAAGTATTGATGAAAGAAGGAAAAGAAAAAACTGAATATGCAGGTTATGGCTGCCTTGCATAACAAGCATTGCATATCATGATCATGATCATGATCCCTTCTCTTCACTTTTCTTTTCCATTTCCCCCCGCCACCTTTTCTACTCCTTCCACTCCAATCCTACTAAAGAAGCCAACTAAAACCCAGAAACTAACACAACTGTATGGATGAGAGAAAACAGTACCATCCCAAACTTGGATATCGGGAAAATTTTCCATGGTAAGAGAGTATTTGCTTTCAGTTTGGCTTATTTCTTGACGTTTGATGCTAACACGTCGGTGTAACATATGGGGCATGCCTGGTGGAGAAAGAATTAGCATGTCAAGCAAGCAGCAGCAGCCTTCGAAGGACTGGTGAACAGTTAAAAAAATAAGAGATTGAAAATTCGATACCTAGTTTCGAGGCGTCCAATGTGCTTACCTTATTGATGCTAAGCCATTTAGTACCGCAGCTGGCATGGTAGATGTGCTTGCACGGCAATGTGATGCGCTTCTGAGCTCGCTTGTACTCCATTTGGCAAATTACACACCTGAAGAAACAGAGCAGACTTGGGTTACTGGCTGGTGTTGTACCCCATCTTTATGTTTCAAATGGTGTTTTATGAAATGTGGACTGCATACCTTTCGGTTCTTGATTTCCTTCTTGCGAAGATGCAACGCCTGTATCTCGTCACAGGAAGCAAAGAGATGAGTTCTTGGGAGAGCCCTCGACTCTGACTTCCGACTGCCTCACCTAGTTCGAGCAATTCCTGGACAGAGAAAATGTTTATTACTAACTGTAACTAACCAATTCGTATGAAAGTGATTAATTTTGTGTTCAATTACAATGCGGCCTCTTAAGTGCAAAATCTTAGAGAGATATGGGGAGGCTATGTCCTTTACCTCGTAAGTCATATGGTCGGGATCAACGCTGTCTTGCCACACAGCCTGCATATTACACACAAACAGGAGCAGAAATCATTGTCAAAGAAATCAGTGAGTGAAGAAATGATACCATGGGTGTTTAAAGGAAGCACTGCACTATTCCTATAAATGCATAATGCCCAGGGTTCCTCAAAATTGGGAGTTCCAACATATTAAATAACAATTTTGCTAGATCTAAGTATATGTATAACACTTGCAGCAGCTTTATCATGTTACAACTAGTGAAAGTCGGGGGGAAAAATCATCATGGGCAATTCTATGATATAATAGGAAATAGTGGCATCACGAGATCAACACACCTCATGGTAATCATGATCACTATGATGTCTCCGCACACCTGAAAGGCAAGATTATTACAAGTGAGGAGAGGACATTATAGCCATCACATGAAACCACAAGTTTTTGTGCAGCACAAAAAGAACAGCAATCTCAAATAGTATTCAGATGCGAAATAGCCTAGGACCACTATTGTCTGACAACCGGAGGTTAAACAAATAAGCATATAACTAACAGAACATCAAAAGCCATCAAATATGAGAACTGCGTATCTCAGGAAAGAAACCACACTATTATCACACAACATCCAACAACAAGAACTGGTCTCCTGGCTCCTATATTGTTCATCAGTGCATGGTTTCTCAACTTATTTATTGCCATATGGTGTACAGATTACTCAAATTGCGCATACGCTAAATAAACTTCACACAAATGTGCCAGGGGAAACTAAGAAGTTCAAAACTTTAGACTTACAGTCAATAGGGTCTTCATTGGCAGTTGCGCTCTCATGACTATCCCACTCTGTATTTCTGCCAACAGTCCGCTCAATGGGCATTTGTGAAGAACTCAGAAAGGGTCGTATGTATTCATCGATCGCGTGTCCATGATCACGGACTTCATAAGCATGACTCGGATCATAATACGAAGTACCCCCCGGTTGCGAAGTGCCAAATTTGTAGAAATTTGAATTGTCACAGCTACTGTCCTGCGCATATTATCACATTGGCAAAACCTTAAAAGTGAGAACAAAAATGGTGAATGAATTGCTTTCTGAGGTGAAATTCTCAAACCCCGGACTACAACAGGATCAGCTAGGTAGGTACCTGAGCATGGCAACCACCATCAAAAATGAAATTCACGTGTTCATATGTGAGACCTTGAAAGTATTCCATGAAGCTTCCAGCTGAATTATAAGGATAACTAGTCTCCATGAAGTGGACATCCATGCTCGAACTCCAACTCATCTCTGTAGACAAACTATTCTGCTACAAAAAGCCCCCAAAACGTCAGCAAATCCAAAAAGACACCAGCTTTAGCACTTCCAAACCATTAAACCAAAGTGCAATGCCGACTAACCAATTTGAATCTATCCTGGAAGCTTCACGCGAGCACAAACATAGTCGGATCAGTCAACTGCTCCAAATGGGTGAGTGGAGAATCTTTTCAAGGACCCTGGGGAAGAAGACAAGACGAATAAAACAGATCAACACCAAAAAGAACCACGAAAAGAATGGATGTGGTAGAACTAATTCCAAATCACATTTCAAGCAATGCAGTTCACGAATTACAATTCTGCTAGCATCAAACACGCTGTGTGGTCTTCCCCCCCAATCAAGATTCAAGGCAATTAAGTGAAGCAAGCTACCAATGTTGGACAATGAAGCAGAGAGAGAAAATGGCACCTCGGAGGGGAACCAGAAGAAGAAGAAGTCCAGATTAAAGTGGAACTGTGAAAGGCAAGGACTTGGACGATATTAAGGCATCAGAAATCGAATACTTGCGTGAACTGGAAGCGGGAAAAAATTATATTCTTAAGGGGGAAATGTGAGGAAATGGATGAGTGAGACAAGGAGTGAAGAGAAAGATTAAAAGATAAAGGGGTTTCTGTGATCTCAGTAGCAATATTATAATGCCAGAATCAAATGGGAGATGCAAAGATAGAGGGAAGTGAAGAAAGAAAAGGAACCCGACATTGAGAGCTTTTTATTTTATGAAGAGAAGAAGCAGCAGAGGGTTTCTTTCGCCTCCGTCATCGTCATCTTCCCAGCTTTAAAGCTTTACACTTTTCTCCTTTTTTCTCTTCCTCTGATGGTTTCACGAGAATGCCATTTCTTCTTCTCCGTCGAGACACTGTCTATCTGTCTGTCTGTCCCTAACTGTATCTGTATGGACTTGTGGGCTAAGTTGGGGGGAGAGAGGGTGGATGGTGGCCGCCTTTATGCGGTGGTTTACGAAGGACGCTGTCACTCGAGGAAAATGGAAGCTACAAAAAACAAAAGAGTAATTTTCACAAACACTTGGCAGCCATTGCAATGAATCTGCAACTTCCTTTTATTTTAGTGGCACTCGCATTTACCAAGAATCCCAGCTATCTTTCTAGTGGGAAGTAAAAAAGATTATCAAATTAAACCCACAATAACCTATTTATTAATGAGAGAGTTGACAATGGAATGAATGATGACCACAACACTTGCTCAGATTCATTAGTGCAGTCATTCATTCATATCCAAGAAAACAATTCATGGGGAAAAAGATGAAAATATAGGAAAGAGAAAGAAGGTTCTTTGCCTAAAGTTTGTCCAAAGCAAAACACAGAAGGGAGAGAGGGTTAATTGGAATTCCAAAGCAAAAAGATTTTGATATAGATGGTTGGTGACCTATATAAAAGCCAAAGCCAAGGAATGAACTGCCAAATTGGAGAAAGAAAACGGCACTCCATGTATCAATGTCACAAGATAACACAAGCAAGCAAGAAATTAACTGGGTCCCTCCCCATTGCATAGCTTCTCTTTCACCAAAATATATTCCTAGGAAAGGATTTATGGTTGGGGAGCTGAAGACCATAATCAATGGCAGGGTCACTAAAAATGGGAGGAATTGAGAAATCAAACTGCTAAACTTTTAATAGGTGTTGAGATATAATTCAATAATTAGTGCATAATTGTCCATGCATAGCCACTACTTCTAAGATGCATTATGGACTGTATTTGAGTTATGGTGCATTTCTATTTGTTTGGATCCTTAACTTATAACAATTAGATAAACAGTTAACTTTGCATTATCAACTTGACGAAAATTAAAACTGAGTGGGGTTCATGTGACTTACGGTTGAAAGGAAGGTCACCAAAACCACTCCTGCAATGAAAGAGGGGTAGTTGCTTTGAGTTAAGAAAGAAAAAACAAGGAACTTGGAAGAAACACACAGATATAACATGATATGAATTATGAAGGGGAAAAAGGCTTTGGAAGTATGCTTAAAATTAGCTGGATATCATGTGATGATTTTCCACTACTTGTTTTCATTTCATCCAAAGCTCACAACCTTGAGCTCCTTCCAAAAATGCAGATGAATGAAGAAAATTTTAAGCCAAACTGCATTTAAATATGTTAAAGATTAAGAAAGTTGAATTAACTATAGGTCCAAAACTAGAACAAATATGATTAATTAATCGAAAGTACATTGGGTTTACATAATTTTGATTCGGTTCATAATATTTTGTACCATTTAGAAACGCTTAAGGAATTAAAATCAAATTATATTAGTTCTAATCTCATTGTTTAAATATTGATTTGTCATATTTAATTCTATATAAATTGAATACTAAAATAATCATGATCAAGATCCAAACAAAATGAGTTATTTTTGGAGATATAAGAATCAAATCATTCAAGAAACTACAGCAAATCCCACACTTCAAGACTCAAAATTTTGTGTTGTTTTATTTTGGATTTAGTATATACATATATATATATATATATCCCTGCCCTAAAAGAAATCAGCATGTGCTCGAGAAGAAGAAATTAACAAGCCTAAATGGCTTGATGTAACAAAAGCAAATTATTCCAAATGTAGGGTAGAGATTAGAGAAGCAAAAGAGGGTGGCCATGTGGCAGTTCTGGTCACTGATTAGGTCCACCACTATTTCCCCTCATGCAAAATCCCCCATCATTTCATCACATTCCAGTTTCCACAGTCTCCCAAAACTTTTTGAGACCTAAATCAGCAAATTTTGGGTCACCAACTTAGATGCTGCTGTTGTTAGGTGAATTATGGAATTCAAGATGATAAGCTGTGACGAGGAAATACCCCCCGTTCTGGTAAGCAAATCCAAATGGTTAGTTTCTGGTAAGCTTCTTGTCCTAGTTTTCTCACCTAAAAGCAGGAAACAGTTCCAATTACGCAAAAGAAATGGCATTCCCTAAACTTGTAACTTTGTGCATATTCAAGGCAGGCAGATGGATCTCAGAGCACAAACCCAGATCAAAATTTCTGGTTGGTGAAATTCAGGTTAGCAGTGACAAATGGCCACGGGACCATATGACCAAAACAAATGAAACGGCCAGGCCACTAGAGAGAGAGAGCAACAAAAGCTGTCAGGCATGTGGGAAGATGAGTGATGACAAATGAAAAACAGAAATAGGCATGAGTGTGAGGGAGGAACACAGCAATTGAATATGTGAATGTGAATGAACATAAAGATGAGAGGAAGGAGAAAAATGAAACATTGCGTGCAAGCAAGGACAGATAATAATTAGTGCATATGATATCCTCCCCATCACCCTTTTTTGAGCCAATTGCATAAATGGTTCCTAAACTCTGGAGTCTAATTTATCAGTCACTGATACTTTAATTAATAACAAGCTTCTTATTGAAGCTTGAAAAAACCAACTTGATAATTACTTCATCCATTTGTGTTATGTTTCCCATTTGACTCAAATAAATGAATGATGAGGAGGTCACATGGACTAGATCAAATCTCTGAATCGATTCAATCCTAATACATTTATTCAAATCACATAGAATTGATATACTAACATAAACAATTAAACGAAAAATCTTAACTGAAGATGAAAAAAGTGACCATTATGTTTTGTTTTTCAAATTTCAGCGACAAGTTCATTCAAAACTAAGTTTAGCGACTAATGTGTTAGCTACCCCAAAGTTCAGTGCTACTTTTTATTTTTATTTTTTTGGTCCCCAGAACCTGTCAAAGGTGAAACTCTGTTTCTGGTCCAAGAAACTCTTGCCTCTCCTACATGCCAACATTGGATCCTTTTCTATAATGTTTCCATTCCCCCCTTTTCCCCATGTTAATTCCTTTTCAACGTTTGTGACTGTGTCATAAGCATGTTTCCCATTCCCACCCACGCTGGTGCTCCTTAAGTAGGAGTTTTATGCACATCATTGCACTAACCACTCTCTTAACTATATGGATCCAGCAAATCTAACCTATGCATCTTAATTTACCATGATGATGGTGGCAACTAAGTCAGCAGAGACTCCTATGACTTTATTGGTTTCAATTCTTAAAGCTTACCGGGTTAAATATCAAATACTAAAATCAGTACTTGCCATCAAGAACTAAAGCTAATCAAAATCAGGTGAAACATATAAAAGACAATCTCAATATAGTTACCTGTCTGAAGAATAAGTTTGTCTCCAACTCAATAATTGGAATTTGGAAGCCTCTTTGCTTTATCGCCTTCCTGCCAGATGGGTTTGAAGATTATTAAGTGCAGATAAATGACAAAATAGGCTGACAAAGCCATGACTCCCACACCAGCAACGATTCAAAAACTTCAATCACCCTCCTCAGTCCTCACCATTTTACCCTGACTTTGAAATTAGGTAAAACTTCAACCTCGTGAAAACAAAAGTAGATTAGTGAATGGTGCAAATGAATACCAACCTTGTACATCAGCAGAAAGCTGCATCTGCAGATTGGAAATCAAGTAACTCCAGCTGCTTAATCAATTGAGTTAAGCACTCATAGATCAGTTCAGTTTGTGGGTGCGATCTATCCCTTACGATAAACTCATAAACAATGCCACTAACTTCAACGCAACTACTCCCAGGGATCTTCTCCACTCTCCTTTCCTGCATCATCTTCATCACTTTTCTGCCCTCTTCAAACATATTTGCCTCCCTATACATGGTCGCTAGCAGCACATAAATCCCACTGTCGTGGGGATCCAACTCGAGCAGCTTCGAAGCTGCCCTTTCAGCTATGACGATATTTCCACGATGAATCCTACAAGCGAAAAACAATGCACCCCATACTGCAGCATCTGCCTCCATAGGCATGCTCTCAATCAAATCTAGTGCTTCTTTCAGTAAACCAGCCCTACCGAGAAGATCCACCATGCAAGAGTAGTGTTTAAGCTGAGGACGGAGACTGAATTTGGACGTCATTTGGTCGAAATACTCACGACCTGCATCCACCAACCCACCATGGCAACAAGCAGATAGTACACCAATGAAGGTGATTTCATCCGGCATTAAACCAGCATCGACCATCTTCAGGAAGTAAGATATGGCATCAAGTGCATGTCCATGGAAAGCTAGACCACAAATGAGAGCTGTCCAAGTCATGGTGTTTCTCCCTGGCATGTTATGAAACACATCAATAGCCTTTGGGAGGTTGCCGCACTTCGCATACATGTCAACTAAAGCTGTCCCTAAAGCAACATCTACAGGGAGCTGGTGCTTTTCAATATACCGATGAATCCACATTCCAGTATCGAGTGCTCCAAGCTGTGAACAAGCACATAAGCAATGAACCATGGTCACCTTATCGGGGTCTATATCGCTAGCTTGCATTTCATGAAACAGAATCAACACTTCCTTGCCACGCTTGGCTTGAACATAGCTTCCCATAATAGCATTCCAAGAGACAACATTCTTTTCTGTCATAGCGTCAAAAATCTCTCTCGCTGTCTCCAACAACCCACATTTTGCGTATCCAACAATCATTGTAGTCCATGATATAACAGTTCTCTCTTTCGACTTATCAAACAGAGCTCTTGCAGCGGCAAGATCACCACACTTCACGTACATATCCAAAAGTGCATTCGTAAGGGGAACCGTTAATCTCAACCCGTTTTCTTCAACATAGCCATGGAAATCTCTTCCCAGTTTCAGATCCCCCAACTGCGCACAAGCTAGAAGGAGCCCAACCATCGTCACCTCATCTGGCTTCACCTGCTCCACCACCATCTCCTTATAAACACTCATCACCTCCCTCGCCTTCCCCTTCTTAGCATACCCATTAATCAGCGAATTCCAAGAAACCAAATCTCTCACGCGACCTTCATCGAACACCTGGCGTGCATACCCCAACTCCCCAACAGAAACAAACATGTGAATCGCCGCGTTGTGCACGACAACGACCCCATCGAATCCGAACTTCAACACATGCCCGAGAATCTCAAGGCCCAAATAGCCCAATCCCAAGCCAGCGCAAGCATTCAACAGCAACGGGTAAGTATAACTGTCCGGCCTGAACCCGCGACCCAGCATTCTCTTGTACAGAACAAATGCCTTCCCAGGATTCCCACTCTCTACGCACCCCCGAGCCGCGAAATTCCACGAGAACGCGTTCGGATCCTCGATCGAATCCAGAATCGAGATGCAGTAATCGACGTCCCTCGATTGCGACATCGCGCAGAACGCGATCAAACGACTGGACGCCTGCCCATCTGCAATCCACCCGGTGAGAATCATCTGCGTCTGAATCTGCTTCAACTGGGAGATCGATTTGCATTTCTCGAGCAGATGGAGAATCGGATTTGAAAGAACGAACGCAGGGATTCTGCTCCTGGACGACTGATTCTCATTTCGTAGAGCAGAATTCGCTCGAGATTGGAGCTGAGAAGAATGAGAGGAAGCGTTAGAGATCAAATCCTGAGCTTTTGTCGCGCTTCTTGTGTACCGGATAAGCATCGGAAATTTGCTCGGCGGAATTCAGGGGGAAAGTTGGAGGTGAGTTGTTACCGAATTAGCGCTCGAAGATTGAAGGATGGATGTAAAATAACGCGGGAAATCATTTCCTGAGGAGAACTGTCCTTGGGCCGGAAGGGATGGGACACTGGGCCTCACTTATGGGCCGGAAATTAGATAAATATTTAATGGGCTAAATTATCTAGCATAGGAAAAAGATGTTCGACCGAATGAACCCCTATCTCTTGATTAATCTAATCAAATGCTTGCTTTTCTTGTTTGTCTATTCTCCTTCTATTATTTATACCACTATATAGATAAAGGCTCAATCGGCTATCATCGGGTGTCAAACTGTGCCAGGCGAGAGGGAGTAAATGATATAAAGTCCATTCCTTTTCCGTGTCTTTGATACGTTTCATATTCGTCTTCCTCGGTCAACTTCGGTTTAATAAGAAAGCGGGGAATCTCGAATGACTTCTTTGAAAACTAACTCAGTTGCGAGAGATCTAATTGAACGGCGAGGAGGGCTCAAGAGTCGACTTATCAGCGGAAACAGAAGTAGCCAGCAGTTTGCAGGAGGACATGCCAGCTTTGTAAAGGAGGTCTCGAAGACCGAGTTGTAAATCACGTGACCTGCAACGAGTTGGTGGCTGACTAGGCTTTTTTCTAGATCAAAGCGGATAGCTTCCTTGTTCGTAGACATAGTTGAAACTCTATGCCCCCTAGCATAAGTCATTCCCTGTCTCCTTCCCCTTCTTAGCATTAGCAACCTTTTGGTCTTTTTGCTTCAGCCACTCTCTTAAATAGGGGGAGCTCTTTTCACTCCTTCTTTCACAACTTGAGGGCCTCATCGTTGGTCTTTGAACTCAGCGAGGAATGCCTAGTGGGGGATACGCACTCACGCATATCTATCTAAAGGAGCCCCTGTAGGGATCTGACAGCCGAATATGCGATAGAAAGCTGGCAAGCCCCGGAATCGACCTGGATTACGATTAATACTGATGGCTCCATGATACAGTCCACTAATCATGCTGGACGTTCGTCCTGTTGCGATTCTTCTCTTCTAAAAGGGACTGGCGCAATGTGCGTTTTTTCTTCTCTTCCCGCTGATAGCATACTAAAGTATGTACTTCTTTTTGGAAGCTCACCCCAAGAAAGACATGGGAGCGGATCTTCTATTCCTATAAATCTTTTAGTACTTAACAAATCTAGTGCTAAACTAACACTCTTTTAAATAAGAAGTCAATATATAGTAGTTAGGTAAAGCTATAATCAAATTGACAAATGATAACATGGAATCCATTATGAATTCAACCTTGGGGTCATAATCCCCTATAAAAAAATAAAGTTTACAAAGAATAGCACAACCAAAACATAAAAAAAGATTAAGCATCAAATTTATATTTGATATATATATGAGAAGTATACTACTTCAACCTAGGTTATGAAATAGGATCAATCTAGAGAGGATATAATTAAGGGGGAAAATTAATGCCTCTCAATTTAGGGCATGATCATATGCTCTTTGCCATTTAACTAGTCCCTATGTAAAAGGGGAAGAAACATAATTTTTCAGCATGGATGCTGAATCTTCAAAATTGGGGTTTATTCTTTGTCCTTTCTCTTAAGCTCCACCGGAGCCATACTTCTTCCCGAACACGATCATCTGGAGCTTGTCGTATCCGGCGAGCACTCCGGCTCCGGCAACGGCCCTCAGGATGTTGGCGCCGGCGCCCTTGAACAGCGACTTGGCGCCTTCGTTCTTCAGGATCTGGGAGAAGGCGTCCATGGAGCTCTTGTACTTCACGGCCTGGCCGGAGGTCATCATCATCCTCCGGCGGACGGTGTCGATCGGGTAGGAGGCCAGGCCGGCGCCGTTGGTGATGAGCCAGCCGAGTGCGAAGCTCGCGAAGAAGCTATCCTGAAATGATGAACATATGGCGGCGGCAACAACGACAACAAACAAAAGGGATTAATTCTCTCGATGAGTAAAAGAATTTGTGGTAAGTTGCTTGTATGGATAATCCGTTTTTCCAAATAACATTAGGTCAAGTAGAAAATTTCGAGCTGAATCTTATATCATTGGTTAACACGTCATTTCATATGAAATTACGCGTTTATCGACAAATATGTTTTGTTTGGGCGATGAATATATGAAATGAGACAATTTTACTCAATTACCTCGCAATTGCTTCACAAAAATACATTATTTCACAATCTCTGCTCTCTTTATCCCGTCAATTCAAAATTATACAAAATAAATCCTATCTTGTTTGGTATAAAATGAGGTTATTTAATTTGACCTAATCATTTCATTTTGAAGCAATTAGGGTCAGTCTCATCAAATTCCATCATCCAAAACGACCCCCTTAAGAGATCAATTTTGAAGAGATTCAAGTATGGATCATGCATCAAAATCCCATGTAGCTAATTAATCAAACCTCGCGTACATCATACTTGACGGTTTATGTAAACCCGTCACATATAAATTTCATTCAACACTGTTAATATCAGTGTCTACCGCGGAACTGGTTCGCACATGATCTTTCGGTTTATTAGAGACCGTAATATCAGGTCAAAACTTATCAGTACGTACTATCGCGGCTTTCATTACTTTTCATTATTGTAAATAGTGTTTAATTACGATGGATGCATGCATGCGCTCAACTTAATAACTCGAGTAGTTGGAAAAAGAGTAAAACGCTTTTAACTAACCTGGAGGCTTCCGGTGAGGACAACAGGCTTGAGGGAGTCGTACATGCCGAAGTAGAGGCCACGGTAGACGATGATCCCGACGCAGGAGATGTTGAACCCACGGTAGAGTCCGGCAATGCCGTCGGTCGCCATCGTCTTCTTGTACACATCGACGAGGCCGTTGAACTGCCTCTCACCACCTTTCTTGGCGGCCTTGGCGTCGTTGGCCAGGCGGGTTCTGGCATAGTCCAGGGAGTAGACGAAGAAGAGCGACGACGCGCCAGCTGCACCGCCGGAGGCCAAGTTTCCGGCGAACCACGGCCAGTAGCCATCGCGGTCCTTCCTGAAGTTGAAGAGCTTCTTGAAGTAATCTTTGAAGGCGAAGTTCAGTGCCTGGAGACGGTTTTGCAAGGTTGGGAGATTAATATTGGTGGATCACATCATAGATCAATGAATTGTAATAGTTCAACATGATATCTCGGAATCGATTATTTTTCGTTGACTGAAAGTTATAGGGGTGTTATTGTAAAACAAATGTTATACCGTTTTCAAGTGAAATTAGGGCTAGACCGTTTGGAGAATGTATTAAACATACATTCTTAGTCTCTGTAATCTGTTTATACTCAAGTATATTTTAGCGGATGAAACTAGACCAAACCTAACCCTGACTTTGCCACTACCCTAAAAATCTCGGCCATGTAGGATGAAATTAACTCCAACTTGACTCTTGCACAACCCTATTCTTCTTTCCGCCTGTCTGGTCCGTACGGGTATGGCCGGAATTGGACGGTGGTTCAGCTCACATCAATAAACACTCTCTGATTCGAAAATTATATTTTGATACCCATTTTTTTTCTTACGATTTAGTACCTATACTTTATTTTTATAAAAAGGTACATAAATTGATGACAAAATTATGTATTAGTACTTTTATATCTTTTACCTAACCTACAAGTTCAATGTAGTATTGGCATGAAAAATTGCATATCACTAGTTGTTGTTACACGGGTCATTATTCAATAAACGACCTGCCTAAATTGACTCTCGATCCTACCCGACTCATACAGGACCAAATGATTGATCATACCCTAAATTAAATAATCGGGAGAAACCTGACCCAGCTGCCGACCCCCACAGAGTCGTCGGGCCAGGGTCAGTGGATATCTACGACCAAACTTATAGCTCTATATCAAATATAGTAAAATCGATTTCTTCAGCTCACGAATTAGCTAACACAGATCATTTTAGTAAACCACGAAACCGAAGAGAAAGCAAAAAAGAAAGAAAGAAAGAAAGGAAACCTGAGTGGGGAAATAACGGATGACATTAGCAGTGTTCCCTCTCCACAGCGACATCATCCCTTCATCCTTCATCGTCCTCGAGAAACAGTCTCCGATCCCCTTGTACGGCTCCGACAGCCGCCCGGCCTTGATCATCTCATCCTGGTTCTGGATCAGCAGCTTCACGCGCTCGATCGGAGCCGCGGCGGTTTTGGACACCGCCGCAGAGACCCCGCCCATGAGGAAATCGGTGGCGAAACCTGCCAGCCCTTTCTCCGACGGCGCCTGGACACACACGTCTCCATGCGCCGTCGTTATTGCAGGGTTCGAGTAGTTGCCGTAGGCAACGTTCCTCCTCCTCCGGAGGAGGAGCACCGGGCTGCCGGCGTATCGGACGTGGAAAAGGTCCTGTGGGAGCTTGGAGTAGCTGGCGGACGTCATCTTCTGGACAACAAGTGACAGCTGGAGCTGTTGATTATCGGACATGGTTTCTTTCTTATTAACCCTATCGAACCTGTTCCGAAAGCTAGCAGGGTTAGAAATGATTGAACGAACAACAAGGGTTTCGAGGAAGTGAGATATTTGAAGGCGAATATACGAGGAGGCAGGAGGGGAAGAGAAGAAGTAGAGTGATTGCTATTATTAGCATTCCCTTTCTTGGAGGTGTACTGTGTGGTAAGGAGAGAATTTAGGAGGTTGAAAATGAAAGAGTGTTTTGCTTGTTTGTTTTTTTTTGTTTTTGTTTTCTATTGTTCTGGCTAGGGAATATCGGATCGGGGTGAAGCAGAAAATGGGACATGGCGGATTTTGCTTCTTTGTTGTTATGGTTGTTTAAGGAATTTCTCTAATTTAGATTTAACCACATTATTAGGGATGACAATGAAATTGGGTGGAGACGCTTTTGGTAGATACCATCTTCGAGCCACATTTTAGCCCGTAATCAAAAGTTTACGGGGATATATATATATATATATGTACATTGACATACAAAAACCAACACACATGCGGGGTTTGGGATACGATCGGTAACCAAGTAACTAAATATGTACATTTAGATCTAAGTGTGTACAGAAAATTCAGATCTAAAAGTTGTGAATTATAGACATTTTATTTTCCCTATTTTTTTCAATTGGCTCTTATCTTCTTCGTTCTAACTTGGATTTCAATTTTTTTTTTTTTTTGCACAAATGGAACGAGTTCGTTGTACTCTACAAAATGAGATCAATTTTCAATATATTTCGAGAAACTTTTTTTCATTCCTCCCGTTGTCAACTACATAACATATGGTAACTTCTTCGTTTTTAAGTCGTTTTTGAAAACGTTTGCTTAGAAGGAACGAGTTCATCATGATCTATTGGATCTACAAATTTCTGGGTGAAAAAAATACAGGACAAAAATTACCATACTTTAGCACTATGATATGTGGGTGGTAACTTGTAATAAACAATGATAAAAATTGTAAATGACAGTTAGTATACTCCTACTATCATGTATTCAACCTTCCTACCATATTGGTATGTTCATACCATCATGGTACGCTTTCTTACCATAGGGTATTAAATAGGAGCATATCATAAGGTATTGACTGGTAAAAAATGACTCAATTTTCTTTTATTCTAAAAATATATCAAAGTGGATATCATTTTAAAGAACACAATTAATATGATTTATCTGTGCAAAAGAATTTAAATTTCGACTTAAAACGAGAGAGAAATTGTCTGTTAAAGATTAAAGGGGAAAAGATAAAAGTTTTCCGGGAGAGAAAATGATACTGATCCGCTCATAGTTACTCAACATAAGGATGTTAATCCGCTCATAGTAAGATAAAGTTTAGCATTACATTATCATCATTAAATAGTAGTTTAATTTTTTAGGACAATCACTTGTATTACGACTAAGTTTTTTTTTTTTGAAGTGATGGTGTTAATTGGCATACATAATTATACATTAGGAATTTATTAAAATCAATATATTATTATAATTATATTAAGAATTTTACTTATAATATTATTGTGTGTGAAGCACCGGTTTGTTAATGGTTTAATGTTGATTATAACAATAAAATATGAACCACTCACTATACTAGTTCATGCTCCAATTCAATTATAACAATATACATAAAAACAAAAACAAAAATGTACCACTCTTTATAGAATAATGATTAAAGCGCCATAAAAACTGAAATAGAAATAATTAAAGCAAACTAGCTTAATAATAACATGACATGAGCATTTCTCTTTGATAAATGATAATCACGTGAGTCCCTTTAATAATATTTGTTTATTATTTCTTGGTCTCACACAAATATAAGAAATTGAGTTTTTTTAATAATAGAGGACAAATGGCTGGAAGAGATTGGTTAGGTGCACCACATCAGCCATCCTTGCTGGTCCATCCGTCCCATTCAAGTTTTCTCTATTATTTCCATTAAATTCTAGCTGGCAATAGAAGATAAGCTGCATCAGTGTCTGTAGCACACATTAGAATTCCTCATAATAAAAACCAAATAACAAACTAATCCCGCGTGAGAAGCAACTATCACCGCCGGACGAGTCCTTCTTAGCCACGAATGATATCTTCCTCGTAGGCCCTTGCGTGAGCTGCATGGACATCCATGAGCACTTGTACATGGGGCCGAACGTGAATGGATAGCATGGCCTGCATTGGGCTTCACATGGACGTGCCTAGGCCGCCATTGCATAGGAGCCTTCATAGGGCTTGGGTGGATGGACCATAAGTCCATCACAAACTTCTAACTAAATTGTCATATCCTCCCAATTCTTCTCTTCTTTCTGGATGCAAAGACGACGCAGTATAAACTCCTTAGTGTTTCCTAGTTTTGGTTTGATCCATAAGAGTCACCCTCTATATCTAGCTTCTCCATGTGTTCAACTTTCTCTTCTCCGTCAGCTTTCATCTCCACATCATTCTTCTTTTCCTCTCTGGCCACTCAAATTCGATCGCAAATCTCAATACAAGTGTTTTAATATTCTCCAATATCTCAATGTGTCTTAATCCACTTATCATATTTGCAAGTGCAAACATATTTATCTTTGTATAAAGAGTTTCACGAAAGAGGTATAGGGATTGGTCAGTTATTATATACTTCAAACCACATTCATTGAATCACACAATTTAACACTCACTATCTATTACCAAACTAACCATTTGCTTGTTTAACACATCTTGCATAACAACTCAACCACGACTTTTGAGCATGTCGAAAAATATTCATATTGTGATGCTCCATCCTCACATAATTTGTGTGATATTTCATATTTGTATGATTGTATCCTCAACTAGAGCTCTTTCTCTGTCTCAACACACACACACAAAAAAAATACTATAGCTCTTCTTAGCTCCAATGGGCTGTAGAATTTGTGCTTCAAAATAGTTCCGATTTGGGCTCAATTTGTTTACGGAATGGACGGTCAATCACTTTGTCAGGCCCAAACGCTACTGTGGTCTTTTATTATCGTACCAAATGCAAACAAGCCAAATCCTAATATTACAACTTTACAATTTCGCCAGTCAGTCAGCCCTCTCTACCATGCAAAGGCTTCTTGTACGACTGCAACAACAGCGAAGAACAGACCACACTGAGCGACGAAGCGGCCATGCACGCGCCGGCGAGCCAGGGAGGCAGCCGGATCCCGGTGAACGGGTAGAGGATCCCGGCGGCGATCGGCATGCCGAGCACGTTGTAACCAAGCGCCCACACGTAGTTCATCCGAATCCGCGCAATGGTCTGCCTGGACAGGTCTATGGCCGTGACAACGTCTTCCAGGTTGCTCTTGATCAGCACTATATCTGCCGCTTCTATCGCCACGTTGGTCCCCGCTCCGATCGCCATCCCTACGTCGGCCGCCACTAACGCCGGCGAGTCGTTGATCCCGTCCCCAACCATCGCCACTATCACCCCTTTCCCCTGCATCAGTAGACCAATTTGAAGAACACAAAATTGGAGCTGACATTTTAAGGGATTCTCAATTCTGATTGTTGAGAGGATATTGTACCTGTAGATCCTTGATCTTATCAGCCTTCCCAACCGGGCTCGTCTCGGCGAAAAAGTAATCAATTCCGACGTCTCTGGCGATGGCTGCGGCGGTTGCCCTGTTATCCCCTGTCACCATGATGCTAGTGATCCCCATGGAGCGAAGGAACGAGACCACACGTTGAGCCTCGGGCTTCACGGGATCGGTCACTGCGAAAGCTCCAGCCATCTTCCCATCAATGGCGACCAATACACACGTTCTAGCCAGCTCTTCGTTTTCGAAGATGTATTTCTCCACCTCTGGCACCAGTGTGATCTCAGATGTCCGCATAAGCCTTCTGTTCCCAACCAGAACCACTCTCTCACCAACTTTTCCGGTCACTCCGGCTCCGGTGTGCACCTGAAAGTCCTTCACATCGGGGATGTGATCGGGGCTCGAACCGATCTTATGTCGAAATCGCTTAGCATGATCGACCACAGCCTTCGCTATAGGGTGTTCGCTGTTCGCCTGAAACGAATTACGAGTTGTTCAATTGAGAAAACAATGGCACTAGTAATGCTTCAGGCTAACAGTATTTCAATTTTCAAGTCCCCTGACTTTGTTGTTCTGACACAATCAATTTTACTACCAACTCTGATACTTAACATTCAACATTCATACCTCTGCAGCGGTAGCCAAGTCGCAGAACTCCTCCATTGAGAAACTGGAGAAGAGGACAGCACTGACCACCTGTGGTTTCCCCACTGTCAAAGTCCCCGTCTTGTCAAACACAACTGTCTTCACCGTGTGTGCCTTCTCAAGGGCGTCTCCGCCCTTGATAAGGACACCTTGGGAAGCGCCCTTTCCGGTAGCAACCATAACAGCTGTTGGTGTTGCCAGCCCCAAAGCACAAGGGCAGGCAATCACCAGCACTGATATGCCGAACTGCAGGGCCAGCTCGAACTTGTCCATGGCTTTCGGTATCCAGTTTCGAGGGTAAAGGCCAACTTCCCCAGCTGTGAACCATACTAGCCATGTGATGAAAGCAACAACGACTACCTGAAATGTGGATATCCAGAAGTTACAGGCAAAAATTATGAGATCAACCAGCAGCTACATAGAGGGGAGCATAATGAACTCACTGTGGGAACAAAATATCGAGAGATTCGGTCAGCTAGTAGCTGAACAGGTGCCCTAGCTAGCTGAGCAGCCTCAACCAGTTGAACAATTTGGGAAAGTGCAGCCTCTGACCCTACATGGGTAGCCTTAACATATATACAACCATTCTCATTCATTGTACCACCAATTACCTGATAACAATGAAACTGTCGGTCATCGTATTGTGCCATGATATTTTACAAAAGAAGTATTACGATATCTACAACTGAAGTGTACCTTGTCACCAGGTCGTTTGGCAACAGGCCTTGCCTCTCCAGTGATCATGCTCTCATTAACATGGCTTTGTCCATCTACAACAACTCCATCAACAGCTACTTTCGCACCAGGGACAATCTTGATTATGTCATTCCGCTGTATCAGCTGCGTACTAATTTCCTCCTCCGAGACAACTTTCCCACCAGCATCTAAAGTTAGC